AACATGGCTCGAGGATACCAGTTGAGATGTTGCAACAAATGTATGTGATGCTAGAGGTGCTCACTTGGCTGTGCCAAACATTTGGATGACAGCCACCTGGAAAACCAACTGGAAGACATCCATATTTGTGTTTATTCTAAAGGAAGGAGATTCACCATAACGTGGCAACTATCTGACAATATCATTCATGTCACACAGTCAAACTTTGGTGAAGATAACTCAGAAACAATTGTAGCTGTCAATTGGGAAGAATTTGCAGAAATTCATGCCAGATTCAGAAGAACATAAGAAACGTGAGATATCATTGTAGATGTCAGATGGATTTGGCTGAAAGCAGAGAATACCAGAATGTTCATCTGTGCTTTATTGGATATACAAAGGCACTCAGCCTTGTGGAACATAACAAATTATTGATTATACTGTAATAACGTTACTCTAGAACAATTCATTGTATTGTACTCATTAGAAACCTGCATGCAGACAAGAGGGTAGAACAACGGGATAGAGTAGAACAAGGGCATACTGCGTGGCCTAAAAGCAGGAAAGGTAGGCATTAGTATCATATCCTTTCACCGTACTTAATATGTATTGCATTTAGTCTATGGTGTATTATGGTGTATTAATTTCATTTCTTTTGTCATGTAATAAATATTTCATTGTATGAGTTTACTACATCCTATTTATCCTTTAGTTGATGATCATTGGAGATTTGCCACTTTTTGATTATTCTGAATCACTGCTATAAATATTGATGTATAAGTTTTTGTGTGAAAATATATTTTCTTTTATCTTGGGTATAAAAATAGTGAAATAACTGGGTCTTTATAGTAAGTCTTATATTTAACATTTGGAGGAATTACCAGTGTTTTCTAAACCTGGCATACAATTTTACTTTTCTTTCTAGTCCAGAATCTTTGCCAATTTTTATTATTGCTCATATTGATTCTAGGCATCCTACTGGCTTTTAAGTGGTATATCATTGTATTTTTGATTTGCACTGCCTGGTGAGTAATACGATTGTTTTTATGATCCATTTGTATATCTATTTTTGAGAAACATCTACTGTTGTAGGAGCTCTTCAAATTTTTCATAAGTTAATTCTTTTTATGCTATTTGCAGGACAAGCGTTTGCCCTGGTGGTGTAGTGGTCACACATTGGGCTGCAATCTGTTTAATGGGTAGTTCGAAATGACTAACAGCTCTAAGGAAGAAAGACTGGGCTTTCTACTACTGTAAGCAGTAGCATCCTCAGAAGCCCAGAGCGGGTCAACCTTGACTCCAGGGTAGTTAGCAAACACTTTTACATGGAGAAGTGCTTTTTCCTGCTCACTCCTATGCAACCTTTAATGTTTATTTATGTCTGTGTCTTTTTCATGGTTGAAATTCTAGAGTTCTCATCATATTCCATAAGTGTTTACTTAGTGATAGATTGATTTTGTGTATCTGATTTATTTTTTTTTAAAATAATTATGAGTTTAGGTTTTTAAGTTTTCATTTTTAACACATTTTAACACATGGGGTGGGGGTGTGTGAGGTTATCTAATAGGATGTGAAAATTATTAACCAATATGATTAATATCATATGTTAGGAAAGTTTGCGGAACATAATTCAAGAATATCTACTGCCATACATTGGCAGATAACTACCAGAAATTCAGGGCAGATTCACAAGAGGTGTGGAACAAGGGATATTATAGTTGATGTCACACAACACTTGGCTGAAAACCGAGAGTATCAAAAGATGTTTACTTGTTTTATTTTTATTTTATTTTTTGATGACATGAAGGAATTCAGCTGTACATTTTATAACAGATTATAGATAAATCATAAAAATAGGAATTCTATAATACTTCATTGTGTTCTTGAGAGACTTGTACATAGATTAAAACACAGTCATTCGAATAGGGCAGAGGGGTAGTGCATGACTGAAAACAGGAAAAGGTGTGTGGCAGGGTTGTATCCTTTTACCATACTTAGTTAATTTATATGCTGAGTAAATAATCTGAGAAGCTGGACTATATGAAAAGAATGTGATATCAGGATTGGAAGAAGACTCATTAACCTGTGATATACAGATGACACAACCTTTCTCTTCAAATACGAAGATGAAACATTTACTGAAGAAAATCAAAGAGTTTTAGTATGGATTGTGTCTGAAACTATGAAAACGAAAGCCTCAAAATTTGGCTGGTAAATATCATTGTGCTAAATGTGAAGAAATGAAATCGTCAGAGATTTTATTCTACGTGGAGGCACAGTCAACAGCCATAGATAGAAGTAGCAGTCAGAAATGAATGCTATGTTACATTGGGCATATCTATTGCAGACAGTTTCTTTAGAATAGTGAAAAACAAAGCTTCCCTTTGATGACTAAGCCCTGGATCCAAACAATGATGTTTCAGTGGCCCTGTAAGCATCAGAAAGCTAGATAATGAAAAAGGAAAGCCAAAGAAAAGTGGACAAATTTTTATTGTGGTGTTCGTGAAGAATTTCTAGTATACCATGGACAGCTAGAAGAATGAATATGCTAGTCTTTGAGGAAATATGGCCAGGATATTCTTTCAAAGTGAAGATGGTTAGTCTTCATTACCTTTACTTTGGGCAGCTTATTTGGAAGACCCAATTGCTGGCGAAAGACAAGCATTGACAATTTTAAGAGCACTTTATTGTTTTGTTAACTGTAGTTAATTTTATTGACAACTATACTTTTATTGTTCTCTTGTGGAGCTGCATATCGACCAAAAGGAAGTCATTTATTCAGAGCCCGGGAATGTTGTGTGGATTAAAATCAGAAGGTACACATCATAGTTTTAGCCTTTCTTCTTACTCATTCAATATGTACTTGAAAAAGCTGGACTATAGAAGAGGAACTGAGGTATCATGATTGGAGGAAGACTTATTAACAACTTGTTGTATACAAGGTCTTGAGCTCTGGTGGTATAGTGGGTACACATTGGGTTGCTAACCACAAGGTCAGCAGTTCAAACCACAAGCCAGCCACATGGGAGAAAGATGAGGCTTTCTACTCCCATAGAGCTATAATCTCGTAACCCCCAAGGGAAGTTCTTCCCTGTCCTCGTACAGGGTCTCTTTTAGTCAGAGTTGACTTGATGGCAGTGAGATACTTAGATCATACAACTTTGCTTGTTGAAAGCGAGGAGGCCTTTTGAAGTATTTACTGATGAAAATCAAAGACTGCATCCTTCAGTGTGGATTATAACTCAAAGAAAGCCCATATCCTTACAAGTAGGCCAGTAGAGAAAGTCATGATAAACTGAGAAGAAATTGTTAAGATTTTATTTTCCTTAGATCCACAATCAGTGCTCACGGAAGCAGCAGGCAAGCAATAAAACGTGTTGCATTCTGTAAATCTGTATAAAAGTGTTGAAGAACAATGTCTCTAAAATGTGCTTGACCCAAGCTGTGGTATTTTCAGTTACCTCATATGCATGTGACAGTTGTACAATGAATAAGGAAGGCTACAGAATAATTGGATTTGAATTATGGTGTTGACAAAGAATATTGAAAACGTGATGGATTGCCATAAGAACAAACTAATCTAAGTAACACAACCACAGTGCTGATTAGAAACCAGAATGACAAGATTCTTCTGTGTGCATTGGACTTGTTGTCAGGAGAGACAAATCTCTGGAAAAAGCCATCCAGCTTGGGAAAGTAGAAGGGCAGCAAAATAGAGGAAGATGCTCCAGGAGATGGATTGACATAATGGTTGCAACAATGGCTAAGTATAACAATTGTGAGGATGGTACAGGACCAGTTTCATTCTGATAAGTGTAAAGTAGTTATGAGTTGGAACAGATTTGATGACACTTAATAACAACAGCAGCAGCATATTTTCCTATTTTATACCTGATTGCATATGTATTATATCAGCTTTGTATCTCATTGCTGGTATAATTACTAAAGAAAATATTTTCTTTGTAAAACAACCTCTCAGGCTTACTCTTGTATTCATTTTATTTATATGCTCTAACAAATATTGACTCTTTATTACATGCTAAGTATTAGCTACACAATGAAAAGTAAGATTTTTTTTCCTTCAAGTATATAAAAATGTATAATCTAAACTCAAACCAAATCTACTGCCATCGAAAGTGCTAGAGAGGTATAAGCAAATTACTTTATGGGAAAGAGAAAGCAAAGAAGAAACCATGTAGTCCAAGCATAGAAAATAGCCTGGGTAAAGTCACAGAATCATGGCGGTCCATGGTCCATGGTAGAGGTGATGGAGTGCCTAGTATTTGGATATGACTACAGCAAAATTAGAGAGGGAATTGAGAAAGGGTGGCTAGAGAAATGTCTAGTACATGATTGGAGGATCTTTAAATGATGTGCCCAAAAGTACCCTGTGCAGTAATAGTGAGCTCTTAAGTGTTTTTAATGTGTTAAAATGAAAGATAGGATCTGAAAATATTATGGTGCTAGCTAATTTATCTTAGATAGCAATTAAGCCAATCAATACATTTATAGTCATGTCACTTAAAACATTCCTCCCTGGGGGATGGACAGCAGAGAAGAGGGCAGGGGGAGACGTCGGACAGTGTAACATATGACAAAATAATAATAATGTATGAATTATGAAGGGTTCATGAGGCAGGGGGGAGGGAGGGAGGAAATGAGCAGCTGATGTTAAGGGCTCAAGTAGAGGGCAAATGTTTTAAGAATGATGACGGCAACAAATGTACATATGTGCTTTACACAATGGGTGTATGTATGGATTGTGATAAGAATTGTACGAGCCCTCAATAAAGTGATTTTAAAAAAAACCCTCAAGGGTCAAAAGAAAACATTCTCGTTAGGTAGTTTTCCTGAAATTATTGATAAATACTGATTGTTCCCCAAACTTACATGTATGTATTTTAATATACTTAATATTTTATAATTGCACATATCTGGCCTACTTACAAGTGGCATTTTAAGGTATTTTAAATACCTTACTCTTCTGTTCTTCTTCATATTTTTCTTTTTTTTTCTTCCAGATATAAGGAAGACCAGGTGGATGAGGAACTAACAGAACCTCTAAAATATGCGGAACAACTTCCTGTAGCTCAGATCATACATCAGGTTTGTTTCCCACTTTATTCTTTTGAAAGAAACAAGATTTTTAATCTCTGAAAAGTAATTGCCTTTGTTAGGTTTTTCAGAGTCAATGTACTATAGCTTAAAGGCATTCTGAGCCCTCTACCCTTATTTAGATTACACTTATTACAGTTGGAAGTCTTTTTCAAAGCACAAGGTTAAAAGGCTACTTGCTGTGTAACACCAAAATTTTTGATTATTACAAATGCAAGGTAAATTTGGTATTATGTTTTGTGTAGTACTTAACAACAAAACTTAATTTGGAAAACTTTCAATTTGAGCAATTGTATGTAATACATATTAGTGATTAAGACCAAAAAAACCTGAAAAATTATTGTTTAATAGGATTTTTTTTTTTAGTAGCTTCTAAGAAAAATAATCTTGCCCTATGTCTTCACCTCACCCCATTATCAAGTCTTGGAAAGTATAATTCTAAATGTCATGTTAGCAGTTTTTCCATTTCTAATTTTATTCTCTCTATGATCCCCTCTACATGATTGTAATCTCAGAGAAGATAGTGTGGTAAACATTTAGGCTTATATTTTGTGCTGTAATTTTGACAGCATATAGCCTCTTTCCTAGTAGACCAGATTCTAATAATTTTAAATGATTTGGTGACTAGAGTTATGGCCTTTAGACTTAACAGGATTTTTAGAACCTTACAGATGATAGGAAACAATAAAAGCCATTAAATGTCAGGATTTAATTATTATTTTATTTCCACATATTTTTGTCAGTCAAATAATTTTTATTTTTTGGCTGTAATGGGCTTATTACAAAAAATGCCAGTTTGAGCTTATTAAAGAAAAGAGAGGTTTTTACTGGAAATTATTGGCTATAAGTCCTTTTATTGACATTAAAATTTAGTATTAAAATTCTCTAATAATTTCTTTTAAGTGGTCTGAAATGTACTTGTTTAGGAAGCTCATCTGTACTTGGTAATCAGGTCCAGTTTGTATGTCAGGAATTCCCTAGTGTGGTCAGAGCTTAAATAACCTAACAGCCTGCAAATGTCACATTTAAAATTCTGTCGTCATGCCTAACTCTCAGTACAAATGAATTAAACAGCAGAGTGGGCAGCAAGTCAATATGTTCTTCACAGTAAGAGCGAGCAATGAAACAGTCTGTGGTTTGTTGAGAATAGGTAAATAGAATCTGCCCAGCACAGTTCACCTCAAGTGAAATCTGAAACAGGAAACAGAATTAACCTTTAAGATGGTTGACCAGATGAAATGTCAGTAATATTTTTATAACACGAACAAGCTGATAAACTAGTTGGTTTATGTGGCACTCATGTTTTGCTATTATACACTGTGTACATTCAAAGATGAAAAAATTTGACCCAGGGAAAAGTTCTGAATTGTAATTTTGGCGGGTAGTACAAGAGAGTGTTTAACTTTAAAAATGAATGATAAACATCATAATTAAAATTCTGTGGCATCTTATAAAATTTTCATCTTGAAAATCAAACTGTAATAGGGAGGTTTTTGCTCATTCTTTCTTTCTTTAATATTATTATTTTTAATCATTTTATTGGGAGCTTGTACAACTCTTATCACAATCCATGCATACACCCATTGTGTCAAGCACATTTGTACATTTGTTGCTATCATTGTTCTCAAAACATTTGCTTTCTACTTGAACCCTTGGTATCAGCTCCTCATTTTCTCCCTCCCTCCCTCCTCCATCCTAAAAATTAACACTATTCTCAGTTAAGGAGCAGTCAGGAAAGTCTATTGTTAGTACTGGTTCTTCTTTTATCCACTTTGTCATTTCTCTTTACTGACAACCCTGTTGCCATTGGGACTGTTACCATTATTAGTCTCTGCCTGTGGTCATTAGGAAACATGACTTATGTCATCAGAATTGCATTTATACCCAGATTGTTTCAAAGCAGTTTTTCCTAAGAGAGTGATGCATGTGATAATTAAGCTCAAACAGTCTCACAAAAGCTTTTCCATCAATAATGTATCTATATTGTGAATGTAGTTTATAACTAGCCCTCCAGCTATAACTCTTTATGGAAAATATTTATCTTTCCTCTAAACTGAATTAATTGTGCTTTACTTTTGCATATTTTGGTTTACCATTTGTATCGTGAACTAAGTCATTTATTTATACTTTATATACTGTTTGTTTATCATTATGGACATCCTTGATTTCTAATGACCTCTTCATCTTGCCTGTGCAGTATATGCATGGATGGATATACATTTTTATATGTCTCCTAAGAACCATGAATACCTCTCTCTTCTCCTCTTCCACCCAGGCATCAGAAACTGGAGACTCACTGCTTGTGCAGTTTAGATAGGGTACGTAGAAAGAAGATGTGGAGAGTTTGAGCAGAGAAGCATGGATGGGGACTGTAATGGAGAGAAGAATGAGTCTTGGTCACTTAAATAATTCCCTTCTTGTGCAAGTTACTTAAGCTTCTTTTTTGTGATCAGGAATTAGATAGGATTCCCAGTATTGTCACTTTATCTTGCCAAATTATCAGTTTCCTAGAGGTCCTAGGAAATGTGATTTTACGTTTAGAAAACTGACGTCACTCAAGTTATGAACAATAAAATTTAATAAAGGAATCTGGCAAGATAGACAGATATTAGGTAAATAAATTTTTTAAATGGCTTATCTGTATTTGCCGGCAATCCCATTTCAACTCATGATGGCCTTATGTGCTGTAGATTCAAGCTACTCTCTAGGGTGGTACTGGCTGCACTCTTCATAGAAGCAGTTCCCGAGACCTTTCTTCTGTTGGTCTGCTGGGTGAGTTCAGATTGCAAACTGTTGTGCCATCCAGCGACCTTATATTTTCAATAGACCCATAAATATGGAAATGAGGAAACATTTTTCACAACAATGAAAAGAACTATAATAACGTAGAAGTAAATTTAATAGGATTTATATAATAGGATGATGGAAGCAGAATTTTCAGAAGCAGGCAGCTGTACCAAATACTTACTTTATACTTAATAACATAACAGTATATAGGTTTTCCTGAATTAGCAATTCTGGTTATAATAGGGAAAAACTTAATGTTAGAAAAAAAATGTTTTGGGGAGAGCCAGGAGGGAGGGGAAAAAATGAGGAGCTGTTGCCAAGGACTTAAGTAGAAAGCAAATGTTTTGAGAGTGATGAGGGCAACAAATGTACAAATGTGCTTGACATACAATGGATGAATGTATGGATTGTGATAACAGTTGTATGAGCCCCCAATAAAATGATTAAAAAAAGAAAGAATATGTTTCATGTAGGAGAAAAAAGGTCCAAGCATAGCTGTGTTAGGGTAAACTAGAGAAGCAAATTCATATACATTCAAATGTGTATAAGAAAGAGCTTTATATATAAGAGCAATTGACCATTGAGAAAACATCCCAGCCCAGTCCAGATAAAATCCATAAGTCTGATTTTAGCCCTTATGTATGATACCAGTCTATACATTCTTCTTCAGTCTCATGAAACACAGGCAATGACACCAAATACAGGAAGATCACAGGCCAGTGGGTGCTAAGTCTTGTGGATCCAGTGGTGGTAGAGGCATCTCAACGATAGCAAGGGTCTCCATGTGGCTCTTTCAGCTCCAGGACTCTAGCGTATCTCCATGTGTCTTGTCAGCAAGCATGTCTCACAGGGAGTATGCTTTACCAGAATCAGCACATAATCTGAAGCCAGTATGATCAGATAAATATTATAAAAATTAATTGTAATTCACATTAAGAAAGATACTCTGTAAACCTGACTGTGTGTTTGTGGTATGTGTGCATATGCAAAACTGAAACATTTGACCTTTTTATTTATGATGTTCTCGTATCTTTTTTATACTGATTAAAGCCTTTTAAATTGATTTACAGACAATAAAATAGTCCTAGACTGTGATTTGAGACACTTGAATAGAAGAGCCAGAAAAATATTTCCCTATATCTGATAATTTAACATAGAATGAAATGGTAATTTATTTCATTGGGAAGAGGATAGTTTATTTAATAAATGGTGTTTGTATAAAAGGCTATTATCCTAAGAAAACTAAGTTTGATGCCTATTTCATCCCATATATGAAAATGAATTGTATATACATTAAAGGTTTAAGTACGAAAGATATATATTTTAGAACAAAATATAGGCAACTAATGATCTGGGCGTAGGGATGAACTTCTTCTTAAACAAAAACAGAAAGGATAGGTTCAGCTTCATAAAAATTGAACAGTTTATTAGGTTAAATATACTACAAACAGAGTTACAGGATAAAGGTTAGATTCATTTTCAGAAGAAAGTCAAACTCTCCATCTCTTCTGCATGTTTCACATGTGCTGCCATTGAGAATCCCTAGCTTCTGATGCGTGGGTAGAAGAAGAAAGGAAGAGGCAGGTATTCATGGCTGTTAGAATACAGATATCTACCTATGCACACATGGCATAAGGGAAGATGCTGAAGAAATTATTAAAGAAAAAACAGTAAGAAATGTTCATACTAAAAGAGGCATATAAAACAAATTCTTTTTAAAAAATTATTTAACAATTGTAATTCAAATTTTGAAAACTGCAAAACATTATTTCTAGAAACATCTCAGGAATGTTTAACTGGGCTTAACATCTTCATAAAAAAAACTTGAAAACATCAAGTTTAAATTAGAATATTATTCTGTAAAATATAAGAAGTAGCACTACCCTTTAAACCACATTTACCTAGTAAATAGTTGCATCCATGGATGAACTACTAGTGTACATTTTGTTGGCATTTACAACAAATATCTTATACTATAGCACATAGCTTATCAATATTACACCAAAAGTTGTAGAAACTAAACATGTATATATAGAATCACCATTTCTCCTCGCACGTTTTAAATTTGAAAAGCAAGTTCAAATGACAAATAAGAATGAATTCGGCTTCCAAACTTCGCATCAGAATGCCACAGAACTAAACAAATTAACAGAAAACATTGCATAGGACAAAAAACTTCCCAGAATGTAAACCAATCTCCTGAT